ATGTACCCTCAGAAAGACGAGAACGCCCACAGTTTTTAGCTGATTTGGACGAGGCAATCCTAGATGTAGAAAATATTGTACTAGCGGGGGATTGGAACATGGTTCTAAACCTAGACATAGATACTATGACGCTGAGACCAGTTCGCACAGACACAAAGATCCTGCTGTCCCTTTTGGAGAGGTTGGATCTGATTGACACATACAGAGTGACTCGCCCAAATGAGTATGGCTTCACCTGGCACCCTGCTAGCCGAAGGCCTACAACCTTCGCGCTAGCCAGCACAAACCAGAGAAGCCAATGCAGGATCGATATGATCTTTGCTAGAGCAGCTGCGTGGGAGACACATCTATCTGTGGAAGTGGAAACGCATCCCATGTCAGACCATTATCCACTGCTCGCCCGCTTTGCACCAGGCCCGAGCTATGATAGAGAAAGAGGATACTTCGGATTAAACACAAAAAATCTACAAGACCCGGGCATAACTCAATGGGTTAGGGACCAAAATAAGGCATGGCAAAACACTAAGGATCTGTTCTCAACGAAAGGGGAGTGGCTCTCCACAAGCCTGAGGATTCAATCGAAGGGGCTGGTGGTGCTTTCTATTATGGAAGCCCATCAGAGGAATAGAGAGGAACGCATCTGCAGACAAAAGATAGAGGAGGCGGAAGGCGAGCTAGGCAAGCATCTGGTCTCATATGTCTTCTGGACTAGGGAAAGAACACGTTGGCTACTGAAGTGGGAGGAAATCCAAATCAGAAAGCAGAAAGTGTGGCAAGATCGATGCAAGGTTCAGGGAATGTCAAAATTAGATAATATGACCAAAGAAATGTTTGCATTAATTAAAAGGCTGACCACACAACATCGGATGATGAAAGAACTTGCGCACCCATTTGACCAGAACCTTTGCAAAAGTTCAGAAACAATCCGGATGTGTGATTATGTTGTCACTTACTTTTGTGACATTCTGACATCCCGCAGACCCCCCGAGGAAGCAGATATGGACCTGTCACGATAATCATCCTTCTGGGACAACACCACTACACGTATCTCACACGTATCTCATGGGAAGGTAGACTTGCGCTAGACAGACCCATCACCACTGAGGAACTTGCATTTGCGGCCAGTCAAATGGCCAAAGGCAAGGCCCTTGGGGAAGATGACTTACCGATAGAGTTCTCTTTGCACTTCTGGGACCTTTTTGACAGTGACCTAGCCCAAATCTACAATGAGGCTCTGGTAGGGGTGAGACTCCCACCAAGTATGACAAAAGGGATCATCGCCCTTCTATACAAGAAAGGTGACAAAAGTAGCATCCGCAACTGGCGTCCGATATCCCTTTTGAACCGTGTACAAATTGCTGGCGAAATCACTGGCGATCAGATTGGCGACACATCTTCCCTCACTAGTAGGTGCAGATCAGGGAGCGTTCGTTAAAGGAAGGTCAATTCTAGATAACATCGTCACAATGATAGAGACAATGGAGATCATCACGGAAGAGGCCTTGGATGCATCGGTTCTACTCCTTGATCTTGAAAAGGCCTATGACAGGGTTAGTTGGCCTTAGGCATATGGGTCTTGGACCAAATTTTTGTATGTGGGTAAAAGTGATGTACTTCCATCAAGTTCCATGAGACTGCTTTAGTGATGATCAATGGTAGGATCTCAACACCTTTTCCGTTGACTCGCTCACTTCGACAAGGATGCCCTTTAGCACCACTGTTGTTTGTGATGCAGATAGATGTGTTGCTTACCAACGTAAGGAATAATCCCTACATCGCCGGTCTGCGTACCTGACACCAATCGTAGTTTCAGGGAAGTGCACTAGCAGATGATCTCACAATAGTGTCCAGAAATACAGTTAGCTCATTAACAGCAGTACGGGAGACTTTAGCAGAATACTGCGGTCTGTGCGAGGCTCAAGTTAATTGGTCAAAGTCAGTGTTTTTTCTGCCGGATCAATATGAGATTTGTGTTGATTTTGGAATGAAAAAGATTCTTGTGGATTCCGCAGAAAGGTTTTTGGGAGTGCAGGTTTCCCTACAAAATTGCGCCGAAACTCAAGACAAGACTCTTCTTGCCAAGGTGGAGCAGAGGTTGTTGAAGTGGAAAACAACCTACCGTCTCTCCCTTTTTGGCAGAGCGTTGATCGTGAATGCATCAGTCTTTTCCCAGTTGTGGTATACTGGGTCGGTCAGGGCTCTCAGGAGAGGACTGCACAAGGCATTAAATTCGTAGCTGCAAAATTCATATGGAAGACGGACGCAGCGGAGGGTCAAGGGCACATGTCAAAGCTTTCCTGGGACAAGTTCACAACAACCAAGGAAGAAGGGGGACTGGCAGTGTTGGATCCAGTGCGTCAAAATAAGGCCCTACTTTGTAAATGGCCAGTCAAGGCTATGCTAGACACGGAGGGGCGCAGTTGGGTGGCGTTGGCGGAGTACATCCTAGCAAAAGAGTGGGGCTTGAGTAATGGGGAGGATGTGTGGTTACTGATGTCAACCTCAGCATACCAGAGACGGAGATTGAAATCCACCTTCTGGTAAGGGATAATACAGGCTTGGCGTACATTGACACCAAGCATCCTCCGCCCCCCACATTCAAGAGAGGAAGTGCTACGCCAACTGTTGTTCGAAAATTGTTGGCTCGAGGACAGTGAAGGTGTGCTTTTTGCAATATCAGGAATAGGGAGTTTTGGGAGGGCGTGGGTGGAAAGAGGGGTGCTGCGAGTTGAGGATCTGTGGGACGACCTGCGTAAAGCTTGGAAGAGTTTGGAAGAATTAAAAGTTAAACTGGAGAGACTATGGCATGTGGAATCAAGGAGAGAGGCCCTAATGGATTGGAAACAGTTACTGAGAGAGGAAGTCGGGGAATGAAAATGGTATCGCTCCGCTCTCAGCCTGGGAGGGGAGCTACAGGTATGCAGAGTGGTGGCTCAAGGAAAGGCGGAGGTGTGGGAGAGGCAGAAGGAGGAAGGGATTACTCGCAATTCCTTAGTGTTTAAGGAGGAACGAGACACTCCGAACTTCGGGCTCATGGAGGAAGTGAGAATCTTCATGAAATTCTCTGCAGGCGGAACCCCTCAGTTGATATTGTATATGGATGGCACTCCAATCAGACAAATGCACTTAGATGTGGGCCTGTACGATTGGCCAAAGGCAAGGGGACAACCCGAACTCTACCAATACTCCTCCAAGCTTGGAATGGCAACGCAACGACTCAGTGGAAGTACACCTTGGAAGATACTGGAGGCCCGCCCCAGATCGCTCTCAGGCTCGACACTATCCATCGAGTATTATAAAGATAAATGGAAGATTTGCAGGGTGCTACCAAATAAGAAAACATCGGTAATGGTATGGCTGATAGCTCATGCAGCCCCATTAGACGCAGTGTCACTGTTCACCAGAGGAATGGAGGTGGAAGTGAGATGTGTCAGATACCAGCAGCAACCAGAAGATGCACTACATTTGTGGGGCACCTGCCCACTATCTTTTCGTAACTGGAGATGGTGGGCGCACCACTGGAAGGCTCTGGGTGGCCCAGAGGAAGTGGAATGGGATCTGGAGTGGGTAGTGACGGGGCAGCTAAAACACCCGTTGGTAAGCGGGAAAGGTGGGGTTAAGTGGCATCTGCAATACGGTCGTTGGTAGTCTGGTGGATATGGAAGGAGAGGAATTTGGTCCTGTTCCAGTGGAAATACTTCTCAGACCCAGCGTTGAAGAGTGGGATGAAGACTATGCTAAGAGACATGATCACAGTGGACTGGAGGAACAAAGTCATGTCCAGAACAGGGCCAGGGTGGTCCAGGGCGAGACTGTGGTTCCTTCGGTCATGGGCAAAAATGAGCGGACTGGTGGCTGTTTCGGTTGCAACAGGGAAACTGGTGTGGTCTCCATGGTTGAGAGGAGATTAGTTTAGTGAATGGGTAAGGGAGGGGTTGAGTTGCTGAAAGGGATGACTTTGCAAGGAATTAGATCATAGAGGGGAAATTCACAAGTAACATGATTTGGGTTGTAGGTGTATAAAGGGGAGTGGGTGAGGGGGAGAAGCAAACAGTCCATGCTACAAGGCTGAACCAACCTGTCGCTCGGTGGCTCTGCTTTGCCTTGTTCGGGTGGCAATTAGGTCCCAGGTCCGCAATAGGTCCAAGGCTCGACTGGTACGAGCGAGCAGTTCAAACAGTAGGTCGTTGTTTTTTCACAGGCCAGGTTGGACTGGTTCCTGCAATATGCTGCTTTTCTGTCCAAAGCCAGGTTGGTCTGGCGATGAAAAACTTGGTTCCGCTCCAGGTAGAATTGTGAGGACCCCAGCCTCTATAATTGCATTGGAATAAACCAGACGATATTTCAATAAAAAAAAAAAAAAACAATCCCCTAGCACAGCACCATAAGTAAACGACACATCAAGCCCAAGTCTATCAATCAAACCAGAAAACGAACCCATGAAGCATATATCCCGTATACAATTGTGTGAATAGTTGTCATATCACACCTATACTCACTATCAAAGTCAAAGCGTCGAAACGTAATTATCGGCAATCCTTTCCTGATTAAGATTTGAGGGATTGAGAGATAAGAGGCAATCAACCCTAACTAACGTAGGGAGATCATCTATCCTATCCTTACCCGATGCCAGGAGAGAAGACACGAATCATCATGGGAAATCACCGGATAAGGGGGGGGGGGGAATGGTAAGTCGCACCTTCAACCACAAACCCCACTTCGCCAACCCCAACGAGCTACTACTCCCCCCCCACTGTGCTGATGGCAACATCTTCCCCATGAAGCTGATCAGGAGCTTGGATGCACAACAACCCCTCTCTGCCCTGCTGCTCCCGTGACCGTCGTTGCCGCCGTCGTCGTGATTGTTGTTGTTCTTGTTGCAGTTGTTGTTGTTGTTGTTGTTGTTGTTGTTGTTGTTGTTGTTGTTGTTGTTGTCGTTATCGTTGTTGTTGTTATCACCATCGTTATTGCTGTTGTTGTCGTCCTTCACACCCTCGTCGCCCATTTCGCCCAATCCCTGTTGACCGTCGTTGTTGTTATCAGTGTTGTTATTGTGATTGCCACCATCCTTCACTCCCGTCTCGCCCATTTAGCCCATTGGCTGCTCGCCGTCGTTGTTGAAGTTGTTATCGTTGTTGTTGTTGTTGTTGTTGTTGTTGTTGTTGTTGTTGTTGATGTCCACCTTCCCACCCTTCTCGCCGATCTCGCCCATTCCCAGCATCTCCTCCACCACATCCGCCGCCTCTGTCATGAACCCCTGCTCCGCCTCCCACTCATCTGCTTGGTCTCCATCACCCTGCTGCAGATGAGCGACCCCATCGTTGTTGTTGTCATCGTCCTCCACGCCCGTCCCGCCGATTTCGGCCATTTGCTGCTCGCCGTTGTTGTTGTTGTTGTTGTCGTTGTTGTTGTTGTTGTTGTTATTGTTGTTGTTGTTGTTGTTGTTGTTGTTGTTGTTGTTGTTGTTGTCGTCGTCGTCGTCGTCAACCTTCCCACCCTTCACGCCAATCTCGCCCATTCCCTGCCTCTTATCCAGCAAACCACCGCCTTTGCCAAGAACCCCTGCTCGACCTTCCACTCATCCGCTTGGTCTCCATCACCCTGCTGCAGACGAGTGACGGTGTCCAGCGCATCGGCCCCCGTGCTGGAGGGCCCTCCCGGCCACGTCACGCAGGAGAAACTTAGGCTTTCGACTTTTTAGAGACAACTCGGAGACGATACGGTAACCCGCGTCGACCCTTCGCTGCTGCGGCCGAGTGCGCCAGCTGTACATCCCACGGTCCCTTACGACAGGATAGGTTCTTGCGGGGCACAACTTACCTTCCCTAAGGGGCTGTCACCACCCTTAGGGGCGTATCCCCGCCGAGCTACCGACCCACATGCGAAGGCTTTTATAATGCAATTGCAGAGGTAGGTCGGCCGAGGGCGTTTGCTCGTTCGCTATAGCATAGGTACGCATGGTTGGACGCCAAAGTGGACCCGAGCGTCGTTCGTCCCTGGGGCGCTGATCTCCCAAGAATCGAACCGACGTCGGTCGACTAGGACGCGATAACCTAAGCGTAAGGAAAATCAATCAATCCTAGTCCCTCCTTTCAAAAACAATCAAGAGTCACTCAGACAAAATACTCTCGAATGAAGAAAACTCAGGTCAATGTAAGTTGACTTATCTTCTGGAATCGGTTCATCCATAATACAATCATGTGTAAAACAAAGATTGACTTGGCTTCGAACAACACGAATCAATCAAAAGATCAGGGCATGATTAACCCGCATAACGGCGCATGAATAACGTCTGATCGAATCATCTCCACTCTTTCTGCCAAAATAGCTAGGCTGACACGACCTTTCGACTTGATGAGATGCGTTGCCAAGTTCTTTCATTCCGCCCCATACCGACGGCTAGAAAAGAAACGCAGACATCCCCCAACTCTCAAATAGAGCTAGGATATCACTAACTTTCTAACTTTGGTGTGAATACCGGCTGTAGATAATCCGACGACCACTATGTGAACCAGTAGCCGACTTAAACAACTGACATATTGGTCACCCTGTTGAAGATGGGGATCTGCTTTCAAATTTTGTTATTGGCCCTGCCCATCTGACAATAATTACTCTTTCTGTTTCACGAATGATGAAGTACCCGCCTTCGACATAATAACTTTCGAAGCAATGCTCTAGCTGCTACCTCGTGTCAACTAGCCAGCTTACTCCAGGCTTACACTTCCTATGGTGCCAACCTATCCGCGAAGGTAGTGCCTACATGTACTCCGTCCATAGCTAGTGACAGCACGAACTGGGCTTCTTATGGCGTCAGTCCCCTATTCGTTTGTGGCTCATAAGACGACCACTAGAAGGGTAAACTATAGCGGTTCTTCTTAACGCGAGCCGCCAAGAACTTAACGCCTTCCGTGAATAGCACACGTCCATCCCCTAGGAGGTGGTCTGGGATACCCCTCGTCCTCGCCCGAGCGGACCTCGGATCTCAGAAGTGGGGTTGACTCCACCACAACAGCATGGTATCCCCCCGCCCTAGCGGTCCACTCTGAGTCGTTAACAGGGTCGGCCCCTAAGGCAATGAACCCCCGCCTCAGATGCCTCCTAGGGAAAGGAAATGCACTTATCACAACAGGCAATCAACCCTTTACCGCCTGACGTCAAGGGCGAACCTAGACGAAAGGAGAGAGAATCATTAAGTCAGACAGGTATAGTCAGAGAGGGTCATTCGGGAAAGAATGGGTAATCTCAGGAAAAATCTATGTCCAATTCGCTTCTTCCTCTTTGTGTTTCCCGTCGTCTTCTGCCTTCCCATCCCTTCAGCATACATGTGAGTGAGTGACAAAAAAAACAATCATCATCCCTTCGTTTCCGCTGACATGATCAGATTTCTCCCCTTTTTCTTTTTTTTTCCCTTTCAAGCATTCTTCTACTTGCCTGCACATCAGATCAAACAAACAAATTCAAGACGAAGAAGACAATGCAAACCCATTCTCAGGTCAGACTCCCATTCACACGCGCATGCACACATCTCCTCTACCTTTTCAATGAACGTTCAAAGAACAGGGTCAAGCAAGTGTGGGTTCACACAGGCGTGAAGGGAATTGAGTCAGGCTAACTGACCTTGAGTGACGTTGAACCAAAGATAGCAAACGGCCCACTCAAGAAAGTCGTATAAACCACGTTCTAAATGAGAAGATCGCCGCAGTAAGCTGTCAGAAAAGTGATCCACACCACTCCCTCATGGATCGCCCACTAACACACAATCCCCTCAGTGTCCCAGTGTCGTCACCACCTGAGACCAGTACCACTATGCCACCACTGTGTCGAGACGTCGTCGCCGCAATATGCGGCCAGCACAACGTCAACACCACCTCAAAGCACACCCCCTCTTGACGACACCTCTCAAAATTCTCTCTCTCTCCTCGCTCGCACCTGGGCGCCATCAGCGCTTGGTTCGGGCAATGGTGGACAGCTGCTGCCTGTTTCTAAATACGAACGGGCGCAGCTGTCCACTGCAGAGGGTCTCCCGTTCAGAATGGGCACGTCCAAGTGCACTGGGGACTTAAGTGGCCCAGTCACTTCCATTTACGCCATGTGGCGTTTTGTCCCCCTTTTTTTTTTTTTTTTTTTTTTTTC